CACCTTGGGTGTTGGTGGAGGAACACTGCTATATGTCCTATGAAGATATACTATTGAAAGATAATTATTTTATATGGGACTTTATACCAGATTTTATGTGTATATATTATTGACTACTTTCTTTTGTTAATTGTAAGGCTCTGCACTTCTTTGTTTTGATTAATAAATGTTTGCTTTTGGGTTTAATACTTCTTTAAAGTCTATGTATAGTCTAACCTTTATTTTTTGTTTAGAATAGAGCAGTAAAACCCTTTCTTGCTAGGTCCCATTGGGGAGATTTCCTTTCACTTCCTGTCCTAGAGACAACAGGAAGGGAGAAAAAAAATCTCAGTATTCCACATAGTTGTCTCCAGAACAGGTGTCCCCATTGGAAGATTTACACTCACCTCTTGTTTTGGTGACAATTGTAAAACTTTGAATTTCCTATCAGTTGATAACAAAGGTCATCAGGACAAATAGTCTTTTTGAGGTATAGGACCACCGAACCTTGTAATGATTTGTTGTAACATTGTGAGATTGATTTACTAAAACTGGAGAGGATAAAATCTGGTGCAGCTCTGCATGGTAGCCAATCAGCTTCTCAGCTCACCTTTGCTTTGACAAAAATCCTGGAAGCCGATTGGTCTCTGTGCAGAGCTTCGCCAGATTTTGCACCCTCCAGTTTTAGTACTACAACCCCTGTATGTAGTGTGGGGTTCTGCAGGCTCTCCAACAACCATGGTGTCCCTGCTGGAACGTCTGAAGAGACTACTTAAAAAATTGAGATGAGAGTGCTACTCTCGTTGTGTACAGTACATAAAAAATGTTATTCTAAAAGTCAACACATTTCAGGGGCTCAGCACTCTCCTTCATCAGGGTGGTGACATTGGGGGGGGGGGGACTCAGCCTTGGTTCTCATCCTGTAGACCCTTTGAGCTTCAGTCTTCAGTAGCGCTCGGTGACCCCCTTCAGCTGTCTCGTCTCTCTCCCAAATCATCTATGGCCAACTTTATAATATCCTTTGTACTGCAGAGAACTTTACCCGATCGGTGGGAAAGGGATGGCACAGACCCTGCTTTCAATAACAAACACATTCCCATCAGATTCAACACTTTGGACCCCCATTTCTGAAATTCTATAACCGCTTGGGTAATGCAATCTTCAGAAATGAGGGACAACACAAGCATTTATAGGCCTTCAGACATTCGGGTACAATGTTTCTGGTGAGTGCGGAATCTGATGGGTAGAGGTCTGTAACTGATGTGCAGTAGTTGGAATACTATTACTTTACATTGGTATTCCAGGAGTGCATGGATGTGCAGTGGCTGGACAACAAAATATACGAGGGTGGCGCTGATATTTGTGGACTGATGGTTGGCCCCGCACAGACTGGTTATATTTTCATGGGGGGGGGGGGTGTAAGTGCTGATGTGCAAATGGTCTGTATGGCTCTGACTGTATTCCGTGACATTCTGACACTGGTTTATTCCATTAGATCTTTTTTTTATTGTATTTCCAACAAATGAAAAAAATTACAAACTTATAAAGAGAACTTACATTTGAATGCATCAGTTGGATCTTTTGTATGGGATTGTTGTTGAGTAGAACACAAAGGAACAACACTGCTGACCCTGTAAAATCCTTTATTTAACATGCTATCAACACATTCCTTCAGTGAAGCACCGCAAAATATTAGTTCCAAATATAGTAATATAAATTGGGAAACCTGTCACCATAATAAAGATTTGGTAGTAAGTGAATGGCTGTCAAAGCAATCAACAAACGGCGGTGCAAAACACCTGCATTATGCAGCAAAGCCTCACCTGCCCAGGTGTCTTCTCATCACATTGTGGTTGGTGGGGAAGGACAACCACAACACTTATCATGGCTGCAGGTCAGAATGAGAATATGGCCAATTAAGAGACACACCCACAATAAGCGACATAAAAGGGAATGAGGCCCAGAGTGTGTCTTCTGTGTAATAAATATAAATGCAGGCACATGAGCTGCCACGGCAAATTTCAGTAACTTCAGTTCCACAGGTATAAGATCCATCTATACACACCTATGACTCTTAATGGATTTGCATATTGCACTTAAAAAAAAATGTACATTTACTTAAAATACATACAAAAAAAAGTATAGCAGTACCTGAGCAATCGTCTCTCGTATTTAGGATTATTTTCATATCAATAAGTTAAAAAGTTAAAGCAGAACTTCATGAAAAGTTTTATTTTGGTCATTTCTGATGCATACAAATGTTACCTCTCCTGAGGTGTATACCACGGATGGATCAATGCAAATTCCTTCACCTGCTTTTGTTCAGTTCAGGTAATGAAGCTCCCACTGTACCTCCAGCCTGCTGCATCTCTCATACAAAAAGAAGTACTAGTATTGTTCATCAACCCTCCTCTCCTCTTGGCCATTCACTGCGCACCTTGTAGTCTGTGAACCATTCATAGTATACAATCCTTGAAATTCATGAAGACTGAAGCAGACAAATTTTGTGAAAATGTTTCATTCGTTCTAAATGTGGTGCAGAATGTACCAAATCCATGCCAATAACTTGTACTTGAATTCAGCACATGCTATGCCACTTTTAGAAAACAAGCAATACTCTCCCAAAATGTGTGTGTGCGCCAGTGTCTCTCTGCACACCAAAAACGAGTTGGTCTTAATGAGCTCCAAGATACGAACTGCCAGTATTTTATTTGTATTTGGTGCATTTTACAACAAACTGAATTTAGTGCATTGCTGTTAGAACCAAAAGTGTCACAAATGCTTCATGAATTCGGCGCAATACACTAACAAGAGAGATGGATACCAGAAAAGTGGTTCAGCAGCTTAGCAGACATTGCAGTGATCCAGCTGCAGCAAATACCTCTGGAGAGGTAACGAAGAAAATCAGAAACAAAAAAGCTTTTTCTGGAGTTCTGCTTTAATGGAGATAAAAAGAAATAGAAAAAACATGAAAAAGATAAATTGAATGACAGTACAATTGTCAGGTATAACAAAGTGAAAAATATATTTGGTAGCCCCATCCTCATTAATTCTCTGAATTCAATGGGATTCCAGGACTGGAGTTGCATTGCAGACAAGAGGCCAAGCTTCGGGTTCTGATATCAATGGGCATGGAGTGGTCTCTAACAGCTGACTGGTAATGTTTTGAAGCCTGCTAATGGGCAAGTCCCATTAGAAGAAGATTTCCACTCTTTGCAGAATAGAACTCCTCCTCGTAGTCCTACCCAACCCCCACAGTACAAGCACTGATTGCACAGCTTAGAAGGGAGAACCTCTGCAACATTTCCTTTGCTGAAAGTCCTGTTTAGGGAGATTTCCTCTCACATATATAGTGATCAATGGGACAGGACATGAGGGGAAGTCTCCCCAAGGGAAGCAGACAGCAAGAAAGGTCTGACAGGTTCTATCCCTTCCCCACTCCGTCCAGAATAAAAATGGTGGAGTTTTCCTTCTAGCTGTATTCAGTGTGTCAGTTGGAGATCCTGCCCGTCTCATTGAGGTAGTGAGCGGTTTGATCTTGGCTCAGACAGTAACTGCCGTCGTGTGTAGCCATCAGGGAACATCCCTCTCTATTATCCAAGGGTTTTACATTGGAGGAAGTTGAATGACTTTGCCAATTACAGTCATTTCCTTGTTTGATCTGCAGCAGAAATCTTGTCACTGTTGGCAAGTTAAACAGGACATAAAAATGACAAAAAAAAACCCATGTGTGAGGTTGCGGTCTGCTTTTGTACGGCTCCCCCCACATCTCAGAATGATACTACAGAACTCAAATAGAAGGCACAGGTACTAAGTAATGAAAGCGCATTAACGTGGCAGAAAATGATGTGTCAGATGATCTCAGAATCTTTGGCTGGTCTCGATATCTGGAATGAAGAAAGGCCTTATTGACCCCTCATCCACAATCTATGAACTGAAGTAATATTCTGATAAAATATCTTGGATAAATGACATCACCAAGACACAGTATGTCACCAAACCCTCAACTGATAGACCAGCTGTTCAGTGACACCAACTATAAAGGGAGGTTCAGCTTTGGCACAACACTAACAGCTTGTAGAGCTTTGACAGATATAGTAATACTATGCAAGTATAAAAGAACACTCTTCCTGTAATGGCGGCATGCAATGTCAGAGCAAACAACAATGTCTGCTCCAGACAGCTTGTGTATCCAGCCCACCCTGGTCACAGTTCAGCATGGGGTAGCTTGCAGCCTTGTCTACTGGAAAGCCCTGCAAAGCAATGGACTGCAGAGCTGCAACAGGTCATTGAATAAGGCAGTAAAGATAATCATAGTGCAGGAACCTATAACAATCAAATCATTTTTGATGAATTGATTTACTGAATTTGACTTGCTGCTCTGGGTTATTACATTTTGCCCAGCAGATAAAGCCTATAAGGAAAACTGGTTCAGAAAAGGCCAAACAAATAACACCAGTAACAGAAAACATGAAAACACCGAGGGCCACTTATATCTTTGACTCATCTCAATGGGCTGCATCTGCTCATTTATCTCCTCTACACATGAACTGGTATGATGATGTCTCTGTGTATAGCAAAGTTGGAGGTCCCTGTTTGTAAACGATCACTCCGCAGCTAATGAATAATTGGTTCTATAATCCTTCCAGAGAATGATCATGTGGTAATATATCTAGTAGGGGCAACAACAGAACAATTGCCTGATTACCGCTTTACTACCCTTAAAGCATCTGACCAACATTTTCTGTCCTTTCCAATAGTTAAATCAATTTAAAAATACAATATATAATAAAATCAATATAGTAAAAGAGGAAAACAGCGTGAGCACCAAGCAATTTCCTAATGAAGTACTAGTTGTTATTGCCACTGTCTTCCTCGGCGGCCTTGCCGCGGCCATCTGCTGTAAGGCCCATTACATCCATGCCCCTGAGGACGCACACCGTGACTATCAGTACCATTCACACTACAGTCACCATATTTTTGTGGTATGTGTGGAGCTGGATCCCACCCAGGAGCACCATTCATGGGTCTATCATCCGGCTGCTGGGCAAAGTATCTCTTGGGATAGTGTCGGTGTCTTCCTGGTCGTCCTCTAGAACACCACAGAAATGCAAAAAGTTAATGACAGATGATATTGAGAATCTATGGAAGACACTTACTGGGGCAAGCTATACAAACAGAGCTGCTGGCCCAGCTACCAAATTCATCTCTTATGATGATGTATCAATTATTCAACTTTCCATACACAATCTAACCAAAAAGATTATTTGCAACAGACAAAACTTCTCCCGAACAGAAATCCTTGAATGTGGGAGGAGCCAGTGATAACATTTCTGGATCTAGGTTTTTAGAATTTTCACCTCTATACAATCAAAACATTTAACTAAAAGATTCTCTCTATATTGACACACACACACATATATATATATTGGGGAGGGAGCACTCCACAAGGTACATAAATTCAAATTTGCTCATGCCTCCACCCTATTATTACAAATTTATACTAGTCATATAAAAAACGATCACTGAGATGTGTTAACATAACTGGCAAAAACCCCATTGCTGACTGCAGACAGATATCATTACAAATCCGAATCCTATATATTAATTCATATAACAAAGAGGGAATGACACACATAAATACATGTAATTACAATTCTGACAATCATGTCCCAAAACTGCGTGTATATATGTGTGTGTTATATATTTTTTAATGTTTCAAATAATTGAGTACCTAAAACACCAGTTCAACTATTCATGAAAGAAATTTCAAAGAGAAAGGACCACAAGAAATGGCTGTAGGGCAAATGGAACAGCAAATTCAATGGCCCATTCGGTCTCCTCTTCGCTCTGTGTGGATTTAATGAAGATACGTAGGTTTTTTTATTCTGAGTCATATGGCTGAAAAGCCAAATACTCTTGAGAGCAATCTTATGGATGTATATATACTGAACACAAGTATGGCCAGGCATGACTAGGGTCGCTGGTTCAAATCCCAACCACGGCACCACCTGCCTGGAGTTTGCATGTTCTCCCTGTGCCTGCGTGGGTTTCCTCCGGGTACTCCGGTTTCCTCCCACACTCCAAAGACATGCTGGTAGGTTAATTGGCTCCTGTCTAAATTGGCCCCAGTATGTGTATGTATGAATGTGAGTTAGGGACCTTAGATTGTATGCTCCTCGGGGGCAGGGCCTGATGTGAATGTACAATATATATGTAAATTGATGGCACTATATAAGTACCTGAAATAAATAAATAAATATGATCATTGCATGTATAACAGTCCCTTATACATCAGGGTCAGAGGTTTAAGTCCGGTGAGGAAGGGGACCATGTCATTATTCTTTCATCTTTAAGGCCTTTACTGGCTAGCCACGCAGTGAAGGACTTCAATGCATGCGATGGAGCATTGTCCTGCATAATATCATGGTCTTCTTGAAAGATGCAGACTTTGTCCTGTACCACTGCTTGAAGAAAGTGTCTTCTGAAAATTGGCAGTAGGTTTGGGAGTTGATTTTAAGTCCATCTACAACCTAAAAAGGTCCAACCAGCTCATGTTTAATAATATCAGCCCATACCAGCACCCCACCTTGCTGGCCTGAGTGGAAGTGGAGCTCTGTGCTTGTTACTGGTCTAGCCACAGGCCCATCCATCTGTTCCACCAAAAGTCACTCCCCATCTCATCCGTTCATAAAATCTTTGAAAAATCTGTCTTCAGATATTCTTGGCCCAGTCTTGACATTTCAACTTCTGTGTTTTGTTCAGTGGTGGTTGGGTTTCAGCCTCCCTCACCTTGGCCATATCTCTGAGCACCTCGTACTTCTGGCCTCTCCAGGTAGGTTGCAGTTCTGGAATATGACAGACCTGGAGGATAATGACTTCCTGGGAGCTTCACGTTTGATTCTTCTTAAATCTTTGGCAGTTCATTTGCATTTCTTTTTTCTCAACACATTTCTTGTGGCCCTGCTCGATGCAGAGTAACCCCCTGCCCAGGGAGCAGCCGCTCATCTCCAGCTGAAGACGATCACCAAACAGGCAGCTCCGACGAGCCCTCCTCCTGCCTGTTGAACCCCCCACAGTGGTGGACCACCAGGGCCGGTTGCAAAACTACACTTACTGCACATATTTAAAAAAAAAAAAAATATATATATATACATATACACACGCACACTTTCCTCCTAAAGTGTTAGACTCACTCTAAGGGGTGAAGTTGTGAGGACTGAAGGTATTTAAAGAGTAGAGCTAAAGGCAGTTTTTTGTTTTTTTTTAATTTTGGATGGAGTAATGGAGTGTAATGGTAATGTCCCATTGGAGAAATTTTCTTCAGTTCCTGCCCCATAGCCAAAACAAGGAGTGAAAGGAAATACCTCCAAAGTGAAGGAAGCCCTGGTTGTCATAAGAACCAGTGTCCCCACTGCAAGGTTTCACCTCTATTCTTGCTCTGGTGACAGCCCAAAATTTGGGATTTTCTTTCACTTTCAATGATAGCGGTCACCAGGACAAACAGAGAGGGGGAATCTTCTGAAAAGGGACACAGACAGCAATAAAAACCTGACAGGGGGTCTCATCCCTCCATCCAACACTAAAACAAAAACTGGCTTTGCCTTTACTTCAAGTATTAGAAGAACACAATACCTAAAATGTTGCTGTTGATTTTCTTCTGTGTGTGGGGTGTGATGTCCTGGGATATGAGGATGTGGAAAGCCTGGAGGAGGAAGCCTGGGGCCATGACTGGCAAAGGGAAACCTGTAGATATGACAAAGAAATAATCCACATTGAGATATGAAATGGGAGCTCACAGGTGTAAAATGCCACTAATACTGGACAATAAAATAGATGTAAACCCGATCACTAAAACCATACATAAAGGTTTACCAGGTTTGTGACATTCCAAGCGGTTTTAGTAAATCTGCAGCGATTACTACCAGAGAACCGCCATGAGAAGTCCATGTTCAGGTGTTCTGGGTTACAAAGCTCTGCTCCTCTCTCATCTGAGATTCCAATAGAGATCACAAGTGGCCTTTTCATTGCACTGTCGCCATCATCAGGAAATCTGCCCTAAGAATGACTTGGAGTGTTGGTTGGCTCTCTCAGGGTGCATCTATCCCATTGGATCCCTGTATACTGGAGCAAGATTTCCCTACATTGTGGTGCAGAGGACCATCATATCAGATGGAGTATAGAGGACAACCACCTACAGCTATGTGATGGTTTCACATGGACTTGAAAGTCTGAGTTGATCCTTCTCCCTCAGTTTAGTAGATTTTCTTAAAGGATAAGGCAACCTTTTTTTTTTTTTAGAAAAAATAATAATTGCACATCTTTTTGCAGGTAAGAAAATGTGCATTTATTTATTTATTTACCTGGAGCCTGTAAAATAATGCACTCTTGATCAGCAGATCGTGGGTGCCATGCAGGACTCCTGCAGACTTGTCAGTGTATTCTGCTTGTACATCATATGAGCAGACAGATATACACACAGACAGGAAGAGGCAATCAACTACCAGAGAGCTCAACAGCGCCCTCACAGTTCATGGAGAACTACAAGCCGACAGCTGCAGATTCTGTCTGTACTTCTAGTTTTCCATTCACAGAAATCTGTAAATTAGTGACATGGCCAGGTGGGCGGAGCCCTGCATGGCAGTGGTTTTTAAAAAATAGTAAAAGTGAGTGGGGGGAAGAAGATCTTGCTGTCTCTAAGGCAGCGGCTGCAGAAGTGGGAACATGTTACAAGTTCCACTCTAAAAATGGGTTTAGCACGTAACATGTTCCCAAAGGTGAACTTATTCTTTTAAGCCAATAGATGCTCTTGACGATAAATAAACCACATATTAAAGAAAATAACTCCCAAAAGAAAAACCTAACATGTTTCACCTAAAAGGCTTCGTCGCGTGTGCCCTACACAGGCTACATATGCAAAACGGTGGCCACCATATTTGGGACCTGTATTTAAAGCTGGCCATTTTGGCCATGCATGCGTCTTTTGCATGACATCATCACGCACGTATAATTACATTACTGTGATATGCATTCAACAATCAAAACCTTTATTTCCAATCTTTCTGCAAAAACATCCCGACACATTCCAACCAGCAGGGGGAGAAAGTCCTATTGCCCAAAATGAGGAAAAATCTCCCTCTTGGAGAATTGTTTGGTATTACCACATGAAGAGAGACACTCAAGTGGTTACGGTTTCATTCATGCCATTCTCCACCATTCTGCTTTACTTCCATATTTTTAGTTATATATTTCTTTACAATATATGAAGCCTATGATATAAACACAATTTTCAGATGCAATTCCAAGGAACGTCCAACAAAAATAAATCATTAGTATTCACAGACAGTTTTAACATTCATGAACAAAAGGCAAAACCGTAACGCCCCCATTAAGGCCATGGTGGGATTTGGACCTCATCTGAAGATCCACCTTGACTCTAATCTCTGCACTTTTTTTATTGAGATCTCCTTTTCTTTGACCCAACTTTATGTCCGGTCAGAACTTCATAAAGTCAGGTTTTCCTCAGATGTACCTAGCTACAGGCTTTTCTCTTTTTTTTCCCCTGAGAAATGGCATGCAGACATAATTGAAATGCATGTAAAGAGAAGTGCCTGCAAAAAGGTTTCATGAGACCAGCAGCACTGAGATGGAACAAAAGGTTTAAAAAGGTTGAAAAATGTCCAGTTAGACTTACTGGTAACTGCTTCTAGGAATCTTCCATGATGGCATACCTGAGCGATGATAGGCTCCTCCCTGCCATGAAGCAATCATTAAGCAGCCTTTAAAACCCCCCACCCTCCCCTGCAATAGAAGTAATCTTCTGCACCCGGGAACACACCACACCGGGGTTTTCCACCCATGCAGGGCAGGAAGTAGGCCTGTCTTGGAAGGGATCCAGGAGTTGGCAGAACAGGAAGTATTGGTACCAGTATCAATCAACAGACCATGAATGTCCAAGGCAAATTTTGAATATGAATAGAAACATTACCTTGCCCAAAGGAAAGATTTGTTCCTAAAAAAGATTGTGAACTGCCGCACTCGTAGAGTAGTTTATCTTTTCACTTGTCAATGTGGAGCTTTTCATGTGGGTAAAGCCATAAGGGAATTTTGGCGCTGTGTACGTGCCCACATATATGCCAATGAGATAGATGACTTATATTCTCCATTGGCAGACATGCTGCCAATTGATCAGCAATATTGTCCAGTCTCAGTTACAGTGGGGATCAAAAGTTTGGGCACCCCAGCTAAAAATTTCTTTATACACATTTTTAGCTGGGGTGCCCAAACTTTCCATCCCCACTGTATGTTCCTTGCTTTGTAAAATATTCCACAAAAGTCCAGGGGTGGATACGGGGACAGGAGGGTCTACAGAGAGAGATGAGATGGATTCACTCTTTGGGGGCTACTGTTTCCCCAGTTTGAATGAATCCCCTCATTCAAATCACCTTTACCTGTTTAATTTGTTTTTATTATATTTGGTATTTAGCTATATATTTTGTAAGAACGACCTTTTTATGTTTTCTGGCAATCTATGTGAGTGATATATTTGTGATAATGGGTACAATAGCCTATGTATTGTGTTTGTGGTCTACTGTCCTGCTTTTTTTTCTGTTTTAGGTACCGTCATATTCCCCCTGATGAAGCTTAGATACTCTGAGATGGAGTGTTGTGTGAGCCTTCGGTAGAGCGAAATCTGTCCTGCGATTCTGCATTGGTTCCTTTTTGCCTAGACCTGCATAGCAACATGAGACTAATTCGACATTCTATGAGACAAGGAGATGTATAACTGGGACTTTAAGACTGGGTTCACACTGATGCTGTGCGGGAAATGCTGCAAGTCCTGTGTTTTCCGCACTGCAATCGAATGGCATTCATGCAACTCTGCTGCAGGTGTCGATGTTAAATTAATGACACACTGAAACAGATTGCAAAACGCAATGCGATTGCCAGAAATGGCCCGGGTGAGAACACCAATGTGATGCGATTCACCTGCAGGTAAAAAAAAAGAGGGTCCTGCACCTTTCTGGTGCAGATGTGATGTATTTTGATCCATACAAAAAGTATGGCTCAAATCGCACTGCAGATATTGCATGTAATTCGCACAGGAATGCGGTGCAATTCCTGTGCAAATCACATGTGGTGTCCTGCACCGCATTAGTATGAACTCGGTATAAATATGCTTCAAAACGGTGACCAAACAGTCATACGTTAAAAGCCACCTTTAGAACATTTTACACCCGTATTTAGGGTGTAACATGTTCCATGCCCCCCCCCCCCCTCCTCCCCAGGACAGCAGGCAGGGGCTCTTGTCCCCCATAGCCACGGTCACATTTAAAATAGTCTGTCAGCACAGCTGCATCATTCACATTGCAAATGAATAAACTACAAGTACGCTGATCAGCACGCCTGTAGTCCATTCATTCTTCCTCCAGCATTTTCATATGTGTTAAGAAATGCCAACAGTGCACACTGTCTATAGATAAGAGATTATAAGGATTCATTAAAGCAGAACTCGGTTATATTTTTAAGGTATTTTTGGAATTTGATGTAGTGGTTTAAAATTATTTTCTAATTTAATGGACTAAAGTACACCGGCACAACACACACCTGAGTTTCAGTGGTTCTGCAATAACGTTTAGAAAAGTCAAATGAGCTCAGCTGAAATATTTCTACAGAAGGATGTAGTAATAAAATCGCAGCACTCACCCAGGTGGTCTTTCGCCCATCTGTTGGAAGCCGTATTGAGGTCCAGGTATATACTGCCCTGGTTAGCTGGGAAAATGAAGGTGCAGATACTCTAGGTTCCCAACTTGGATTGGCACATGGTGGGCATTAAGGTGGAAAAAAGATGTAGAAAAAAATCAGCTGTTAGAAAAAAATTTTTACAATATAGAAACATCCCAAAAATAGAGAATCAATCATAAAAACCCAAAAAATCCCAAAGAGAATCAATCATGCAAAAAACCCAAAGGCATAGTGATTCTAAAAATGACTGCAAATACTGCAAATCCAGTGTTTGAAGAAAAGCTTTATATCACACCAAAAATTATCTGTGCAGAAAAGAAGAAATTCTAACATTATAAAGACTTAAGATACAAGATAGTGTGCAAGTATAGTATGTATTACTTTGAAAACCCAAAAATGTGTAACACAGACATGGTGAATCAACATTCCTTCCACTGAAGTGAAAATGTCTTAATCTGAATGTAAATGGATAGAAAACTGGCTAAAAGATCGTATTCAGAGAGTAGAGGTTAATGATTCATACTCTGAATGGTCTAGGGGTGTCGGAGTACCCTAAGGTTCAGTGTTAGTGGGGAACCCCAAGGTTCAGTGTTAGTGGGGAACCCCAAGGTTCAGTGTTAGTGGGGAACCCCAAGGTTCAGTGTTAGTGGGGAACCCCAAGGTTCAGTGTTAGTGGGGAACCCAAAAGGTTCAGTGTTAGTGGGGTACCCCAAGGTTCAGTGTTAGTGGGGGTAGTGGGGAAAAGGTTCAGTGTTAGTGGGGGGCGGGTACCCCAAGGTTCAGTGTGGGGTACCCCAAGGTTCAGTGTTAGTAGTGGGGGGACCCCAAGGTTTTGTGTTAGTAGTGGGGACCCCAAAGCTTCAGTGTAGGCACCCTTACTTTTTAAATTTATTTATAAATGATATGGGGTCAGGGATTTCAGTCTTTGCAGATGACACCAAGCTGTGCCGTGGAATAACGTCCTTACAGGATGTCTCCAACTTACATTGGGCAACTATGTGGTGGCAAATTGAGGTTTAATGTTGATAAAATGTAAGGTTCTGCGCTGGGGGGGGGGGGGTCAATGGTGGAGAAAGGATCTGGGGGGGGGTCAATGGTGGAGAAGGATTGGGGGGAGGGGGGGGGGGGACAATGATGGAGAAGGATGTAGGGGGGGGGGTCAATGGTGGGGAAAGATCTTGGGGGTTGTGGTAGATCACAAGCTTAATATGGCAGCAATGCCAAGCTGCGGTTTCTAAAGCGAGCATCCTCCTCTTGTAAATCCTCTTTTGTATTAAAAGAGGTATGTAGACTCCAGTGAGAGAGAGAGACGAGAGGAGAGAGAGATGATAGGGTATTGATTACCCCCCCCCCCCCTCCTGGTACAAATCATTAGTAAGGACCTCATCTGGAATATGCAGTTCAATTTTGGGCACCAATTCATAAAAAAAACATTGGGGAATGGAGAAAGTACAGGGAACGGCAAACTAAAACTGATATGAGGCATGGTGGAGATCAGCTATGAGGAAAGTGATTAGAGGAACTGAGATTGCATATTCTCTACTGAGAAAGAGGAGATTAAGGAGGGATATGATCGCATGTATAATACATAAGGGGGGATATGATCTCCATGTATAATACATAAGGGGGGGAGATGATGATCTCCATGTAACTAATACGGATAAGGGGGGATATGATCTCCATGTATAATACATAAGGGGGGAGTGCAGCAACTTAAAAGGTGAAAACTAATATATGAGGACTCATTATTAGATATATTCCAGCAGATCATCGCATATTAATCCACATACATATTTTCCCATGATATTAATCCCAGCCGTTGCATTTGTCATCATTGTGATGATTATGGCTTACAGCTCATGAAAACCCAAATCCACAATCTCAGAAAATGAGAATATTGTGAAAAGGTGGAATATTCTCGGCTCAAAGTGTCCCACTCTAATCAGCTCATTCAGCCATAACACCTGCAAAGGGTTCCTGAGCCTTTAAATGGTTCTCTCAGTTGGGTTCAGTAGGAATCACAATCATGGGAAAAGACTGCTGACCTGACACCATCACTGACACCTCCATAAGGAGGGAAAGCCTCAAAAGGTCATTGCAGAAGAAGTTGGATGTTCCCAAAGTGTTGTATCAAAGCACATTGATAGAAAGTTTATGTGGAAGGGAAAAGTGTGGAAGAAAAAGGTGCACAAGCAGCAGGGATGACCGCAGCCTGGAGAGGATTGTCAGAAAAAGGCCATTTAAAAGTGTTGGGGACTTTCACAAGGAGTGGACTGAGGCTGGAGTCAGTGCATCAAGAGCCACCACACACAGACGGATCCTGGACATGGGCTTCAGATGTCGTATTGCTCTTGTCAAGCCGCTCCTGAACAACAAACAACGTCAGAAGCGTCTCACCTGGGCTAAAGAAAAACAGACCTGGTCTGCTGCTCAGTGGTCCAAAGTCCTCTTTTCTGATGAGAGCAACTTTTGCATCTCATTTGGAAATCAAGGACCCGAGTATGGAGGAAGAATGGAGAGGCCCGCCGAGGATCCCGAGTATGGAGGAAGAATGGAGAGGCCCCGAGGACCCGAGTATGGAGGAAGAATGGAGAGGCACAAGGACCCCGAGTATGGAGGAAGAATGGAGAGGCCCAAGGACCCCGAGTATGGAGGAAGAATGGAGAGGCCCAAGGACCCCGAGTATGGAGGAAGAATGGAGAGGCCCAAGGACCCTGAGTATGGAGGAAGTTGGTTGTGAAGTTTCCCCAGTCTGTGAGTATGGAGGAAGTATGTTGTGAAGTTTCCACAGTCTGTGTTGATTTGGGGAGCCATGTCATCTGCTGGTGTTGGCCCACTGTGCTTCATTAAGTCCAGAGTCAACGCAGCGACCGTCTACCAGGAGGTTTTGAAGCACTTCATGCTTCCTTTCGCAGACGAGCTTTATGGGGATGATGACTTCATTTTCCAGCAGGACTTGACTGAGAAAAGCACCAAAACCTGGTTCAATGACCGTGGGATTACTGTGCTTGATTGGCCAGCAAACTCGCCTGACCTGAACCCCATAGAGAATCTATGGGGCATTGCCAAGAAGAAAGATGAGAGACATGAGACCGAACAATGCAGAAGAGCTGAAGGCCGCTATTGAAGCATCCTGGTCTTCCATAACACCTCAGCAGTGCCACAGGCTGATAGCTTCCATGCCACGCCGCATTGAGGCAGTAATTGCTGCAAAAGGGGCCCAAACCAAGTACTGAGTACATATGCAGCTTCTACTTCTCAGAGGTGCGATATTGTTCTATGTACACAATCCGTGTTTTAATTGATTGCCTGGAATATTCTCATTTTCTGGAGATTGTGGATTTTGGGGTTTCATGAGCTGTAAGCCATAATCATCACAATGATGACAAATCACAACTGGAACTAATCTTGCTTGCATGGAATGAGTCTCATATATTAGTTTCACCTTTTAAGTTGCTGCAGTGAAATAAATAATTACTTTTTGCACCATATCTCATTTTTCGATGTTTCAAACCTGTAGAATACATAAGGGGGATTATATAAGGAGATCATTATCCCCCCCTTATGTATTATACATGGTGCGATCATATCCCCCCCTTATGTATTATACATGGGATCATATCCCCCCATATATGTATTATACATGGAGAATCATATCCCCCTTATGTATTTATACATGGTGATCATATCCCCCCCTTATGTATTAATACATAAGAGACATATATCCCCCTTATGTATTATACATGGTGATCCATATCCCCCTTATTTATTATACATGGTGATCATATCCCCCCTTATGTATTATACATTGGTGATCATATCCCCCCGTTATGTATTATACATGGAGTATCATATCCCCCTTATTGTATTATACATGGTGATCATATCCCCCTTAATGTATTATACATGGTGATCATATCCCCCCCCTTATGTATTATACATGGAGATCATATCCCCCCTTATGTATTATACATGGTGATCATATCCTCCTTATGTATTATACATGGAGATCATATCCCCCTTATGTATTATACATGGTGATCATATCCCCCTCTTATGTATTATACATGGTGTGATCATATCCCCCCTTATGTATTATACATGGAGATCATATCCCCCCTTATGTATTATACATGGAGATTCATACCCCCATTATGTATTATACATGGAGATCATATCCCACCTTTATGTATTATACATTGGAGATCATATCCCCTTATGTATTATTCATACAATGGAGATTGTTATCATATCCCCCCCCCCCTATGTTATATTATTCATGGAGATTCAATATCCCCCTTATGTATTATACATGGAGATCATATTCCCCACTTATGTATTATACATGGAGATCTTATCCCCCCTTATGTTATTAAACATGGAGACCAATTTCCCCCCCTGATATTATTATTACATGGCAGAATTCATATCCCCCCTCTTATGTATTATACATGGAGACCATGTATCCCCCCTCTTATGTATTATACATGTGGAGACCTTATATTCCCCTCCATTATGTATAATTATACATGGAGATCATATCCCCCCTTATATGTATTATACATGGAGATCATATCCCCCCTTATGTATTTATACATGGAGATCATATTCCCCCCCTTATGTATTATACATGGGTGATCATATCCCCCCCTTATGTATTATACATGGTGATCATATCCCCCCCTTATGTATTATACATGGAGATCATATCCCCCCTTTAATGTATCTATACATGGAGATCATATCCCCCCCTTATGTATTATACATGGAGATCATATCCCCCCCTTATGTATTTATACATGGAGATCATATCCCCCCCCTTATGTATTATACATGGAGATCTATCCCCCTTATGTATTATACATGGAGATCGTTATCCCCCCCTTATGGTATTATACATGGAGATCATATCCCCCCCTTTATGTAATATACATGGTGATCATATCCCCCCCCCCTTATGTATTATACATGGAGATCATATCCCCCTTATGTATTATACATGGTGATCATACTATCCCCCCAGCTTATGTATTATACATGGAGATCATATCCCCGCCTTATGTA